TATATATATATATATATGGATAATGAGAAATTAATGCGTACTGCGCATTATTATTTTCTGCTGTTTCAATATCGATTTAAAATTCGAGAACATTTACATATTAGTCGAATATTGCACAGATGAATTCATCATTTTCATTATTTGAGATTTTTAATTCATATTTCATTATTTTAACTTCGTTGAAAAGTACGTTTCGACAATTTCATATGGAATGATTCGCGCACAATGCTTTATTGGAGGATAAACTATGAAGGAAGTCGAATTCTGCGAAAAATCAAAAATTCGTTTGCTAACGAGAGGTATAAATGTAATATAAATAATAATCGATAGAACCGAAGTACAAGCTCAAATTATGAAATTCTTAATTTTTCATGAATTTATTTTAACGGTTACGTTTAACAATGATACTGGCAGCATATCCGTTCACTAATTAACCCGTGTCTATTATTAACTGATATTCTCGCAGCTATTATAAGTTATTTTCGGATAATCGTCTATGATATTTGCATACGATTTTGTCGATCAAGAAAACAATTTTAATTATTTATTATTACGACACTTGATGCTCATTTAGATTTTACCTGCGAAATTTCGTTTTATTAAAATTGGTTTTTAATCTCTAACATTCACATTATTTTTATTTGATATAAATTTGTATAATAAATAGAATAATATATAATTAAGAAAAAATATTATACAATTATACAGTTATACAATTTATTAAATAAAAAATAATAAAAGATAATGCAGTTTTTAAAATAATAATTACATAAATTATTGATCTATAAATTTTATTATATTTAAAAAATTATGTTTTCCATCTATTTTCAATAGGAAGAAGAAGTGTCATGATTCATAGTACACGATGATATATAATATGTCACTGGTGATACTAAAAGGATTAGGAAGTAAAACGTGCTATAGCACACGTGTATTTATACTGCGGCATGCACATGCAGTCAGCCATGCATAAACATACGTTCCCGAAACGTTCGTTACGAAACGACCATTTTAGTCAATCCCTTAAACCACGGTTTAATACCTAAATCTCTCGAGCACATAGGGAGAGTGTGCAAGAGAGTGCGAGTGAGACATTTCTCCCACATCCTCATATTTTCGTTTCATTAAATTTAATGACCGACTATGTTTTCAGCGTATCCTGCGTCCCCCTTTTTCGGACGGTAATTTTTGTGCGTTTTCAAGATTATCGTACTCGATGAAACGAAGAGTTTTAAGCAGTTTAGCGTCTAGACGAGACAAATCGTCGTTACATCCCTGCGCCGCCCCTCGTGGGTCGCGACGAAATCAATTAGACAGACAGTCGCCCGGACGATCGATCGATAAACACGTCGGTAGAATATTGAATGCGAAACGAGATAAATTACATCTGAAAAAGCCCGGACGGAGTATCGCACGA